CCGCACTCCCAAGCGCCGCACTCTACCGAGTGCGCCACTGGGCCGGCCCAAAGAGGTTTAGTTTTATTTGTAAAATTCCTGTTTGACTTTAGAGTCATTACCTATAAGTACAAGACTAAGGAGTGTTATCTAGTTTAGAATTGCATATACTAAAACAATTTAATGAAACTCATCTAATGCTGGAAGTCAGATCAGCCCACATGCTTCAGCTGTCATCTTTAGTTAAACCTCAAAACCAGTTAATACAACTCTCCACGGAAACAGTAAAGCAGTTGGAAAAGCTCCTCTTTTTCCAGGGCTTCCTCTCTTGGCTGTTGCTCCCCTGTGCTCTTCTCTCATTCTTCTGCTGCTGCTTTTGCAGTGAGAGGGAACCAGAGTAGGTCCCTCTCCTTTTCTAAACTTAAGGGTGAAGGAAAAAATGCTCATTTTTCTCTTTTTCACCCATGAATCCAAGTTCCCTTAACTCTATGAGGCACCAAACCTGGAAGGTATGATTAATGTGTGGGCTTACTTAAGGCAAAGGGGCCAGAAATCTGCTTTTAATTTAGGCCACAAGCTACAGGGGCCCACAGTGTGCTCCAGGTTCAAAGGTGACAGAAATGGGATCCGAACCCTCAGTGGGAGCGCCACCGCACTCCCAAGCGCCGCACTCTACCGAGTGCGCCACTGGGCCGGCCCAAAGAGGTTTAGTTTTATTTGTAAAATTCCTGTTTGACTTTAGAGTCATTACCTATAAGTACAAGACTAAGGAGTGTTATCTAGTTTAGAATTGCATATACTAAAACAATTTAATGAAACTCATCTAATGCTGGAAGTCAGATCAGCCCACATGCTTCAGCTGTCATCTTTAGTTAAACCTCAAAACCAGTTAATACAACTCTCCACGGAAACAGTAAAGCAGTTGGAAAAGCTCCTCTTTTTCCAGGGCTTCCTCTCTTGGCTGTTGCTCCCCTGTGCTCTTCTCTCATTCTTCTGCTGCTGCTTTTGCAGTGAGAGGGAACCAGAGTAGGTCCCTCAGTAGGTGAAAAAAATCCCAACTTATTATATAATTCAAATTTCTTTAATTAAGAAATGGAACATCTTTTCTTAGGTTTGAAAGCCACTCATAAGGGCTGGCCTGTGGCTAAAAGCACAGTGGGCTGTAGAGACAAAGCACTGCAGTAAGCTGTCCCCTCTGCTGTGACCCCTGGGCCGTGGGTAGCTGGCGGATCAGTGATTCAGGGTCTTGGCCATTTTTCTGTCCACAAAACCAGCTTTACAGCTGGCAAGGCTCTTATGATGAATCATTTTGTCCAACCAGTATTACTGAGAAACCAGGATGACAACTGAGGAAAAACATGAAATACTACTAAAATACAATGTCAACTTTTAATATGATAGAAAAAAATGTACATATTGAAAAGAGAATCGGGTGGGTAGGGATGGTCCTTATGCCCTTTGTTGGTGCTTCACTGTGAAACTCCAGATAAGGAACGCAGTAACTTGACTTGGCCTTAGCTTCTAGGGCAGTGTTGATGAATGTGAAGATAGATCTTTAACGCAAAAGCTACAGAAGTACAACTTAGAATTTCTGTTCTTCATCATTATAAAGCATATATTAAATGCCTAATTGTGTAAGGCATAGAGTTGCTATGGAAATAGACCTTCTGATAGCTTTCACCTTTTCTCTTGCTTTTCAGAATTCTCATTCAACCTAAAAATGCAACTCCCCATGGCGTAAAACTGCTTCTCAAAAGGAGCATATTTCTTATATTCCTTCATTAGGGACAGGGAAAACCAAAACAATGTTTTCAAACTAATATAAGCCCTGCCACAGAATGATGGCTTCTCTTTATTTCCTCCCCATGGCGTAAAACTGCTTCTCAAAAGGAGCATATTTCTTATATTCCTTCATTAGGGACAGGGAAAACCAAAACAATGTTTTCTTTTCTTTTCTTTTTTTTTTTGTCTTTTTGTCTTTTTTCCGTGTCCGGCAACAGATCGCAACCCTCAGTCCAACATGGAATCCAAGTTTCATCTTCTATTGAATATAAGGTATCACTGATTTTATATTGCCCCATAATTTTGTGTGCCACTAGAAAAGAAAATCAGGCAATTAAGTTAAGAGAACAGTGAGTATAAATTAAACAAGTATCCTTAAAAAAATGCTTCTACTATCCTTTCAAATATCTAAAATTCCTAAGGCTATAACCTTAGGTTTCCTTCCATGTCTGAAGCATTTAGAGCTGTATGAATATTTGGTTGAAAACCTGAGCATTCACTTACAATGTAGTCCTCATCTTCATCCTTGGGGCCGGGGCTGTAATACACTCTGTATGCTCTGGCCACTTGATCAATTTCTTCTTTTGTGCCAGTCAAGCCAACGAGTTTGGGAGAAAATTCTAAATTACAAATCAGAAAGAAAATGAAAAATGAGAAGCAAGCAAAACAGCCACCCCCTACTTCAAACAACAGTTATCAATTATAAAGTGGGCCTCTTGCCACTTTCTTCCCTACGGGTCCCCTAGCATTTCCTAATGATTCAAAGGAAAAGAAATTCACATAAAGCAAATGAAAATTCTCTTATGTAACATATAATTCAATTCCTTTTATCTAGTAAGGATCTGGAGGAAATACACTCTAAATTTAAATCACATTTGTAACTAATTTAGTTGGTTTAAAATACATGTAGTCCTGAGATATGCTGAAATTTAAAAATATTATCATTGATTAAGTACAATAGTTTTTCACAGTATCATGAGAAAAACAGTTGCTTCACAATTAGTTTATACCTGGCCAAAATATCTGTATCTTGTTCTCCAGCATATAATCTCAATATAGGATCAGGTTCTACTTTTAACTTCTGATAAAGAACTGGACAATTAATACTCACCATTCCAAAACAGCAATTATAACAAAGTTCAGGGCTAAGGGCAAATCATTCAGAGAATGTATTCGTTAAGTTTCTGGAATTTACATAAGTAAGCTGGTGAAAATCACTTAAAACACCTGAATTCATAAGACTACTGAAATAATAGCCCAGCATTTAATAGCAGTTCTTGCTTCCATAGGTACAGAAGCCTATTTTCATTCCTTTGACTAATTCATTCTAAACTGAGAAACTGTTCAGTTACTGAAAGAGCAGGATGGCTTTTCTCTTCCATTCTCTGAGTAAATGAAGAAAAAGGTGAGTGAAACCTTAGGTAGCTGCACACACAAACTTTTTTTTTTTTAAACTGAATTGCCAAACTGTAATATTTCTCCAAATACCAACTTAAATTTTTAAAAAATCCCCTCAAAGTGCAACTAGTAATGATTATATTGATAAATAACTGTACATATGTGGTGTTAAAAAAATTACCAAAAGTTTTAGTATTTCAGTTAAGTACAGCAACTCAGATATCTACTCATTTGGGGATATAATGGTTTGGTTTAATGTCTAATAAAAATAACTGCCAATAAAACACATGTTTAGATTGGAGATTGTATATTACCCAATGAGTTCATAAATACCTGGTTTTCATTGCTTTAGGAAATAACTATGCTATTGCCCAAATTTCTGACAAATGTGTAATTGTGGACATAAATTCTGCTTAAACATATAAAATAAAAACCCTGAACTTCAAGAAGAAAACATAAACCTTTGTAACCTTGGGTTAGGCAAACCAAAAACACTATATATAAAAAAAACAGATAAATTTGGACTTCATCAAAATTGGCAGCTGGGTGGTTCAGGGATTTGTGCCCTTGACTCTGGCATTACCAGCATAATGCTCTGTGAAGTGAGCTAACTGGCCAGCCCTTATTTACTGATTTATTTATTTATCTTGGTGGCTAGCTGGTAAGACTTCATCAAATTTGAAAACTATTCTTCAAAAGACACTGTTAAGAAAACAAAATGACAAGCCATAGACTGGGAGAAAATATTTGCAAATCATAAACCTGATTTGCAAAGGCCAAATTCAAATCCTTCCAATATGACAAAATAAAAAGAGCACTGCACCAATTGAGAAACCTGTTTCTTAATTATTTACTTACTAACCACAGTCACAACTCTGAGCTACATCTTTTTATTTGCCTGTAAAATTGGTGATAATACCATTTCTCCTGCCTATTTCAACAGGCACTGTAAGGTTCAAATGAGTTGGTATTTCAAAAACTATTAAGGGCTAAATATACGTAAAGTGTTATTAATAAAACACACCTTTCACATAATTTGCGATGGCTTCTTTTGTGTCCCTCTCTGGGTCAATGGTGATGAAAAGCGGAGTTAAATTTGGCAGACTTGGAATGCTATCTGAAAGAAAGTTCAAATTAGTATTCACACCCTAAGTGAAAAGATAAAGAAAACAAGCAATGGCAGGACAGCATAGTAAGTGCTACAGCAAAGTGTTAAGAAAACAGAGGGACATCTAACATTTGGGTGGATTGGACAAGGAAGGGAATGGGATGGCCTCTAGGAGGAGAGATCCATATATTATCTGCGGTGGAATCAGATAAATATCCTATCAAACACCTGCACAGGTACATTAATGTTATTACTCCAGATCACATCATGTGGATATCTTATCTCCTGATCCAATCCAATGTTTGTAGTTATTTTTCCCCACCACATCTCAAGGGCAAGGTAAACTATTAATAAGGACTGAATACCCTGAAAAAATTAATTTCAGGAAGGAGGCACCCTTCCTTCTAATTTGTACTAATAAATACCACTGACTGCATATCACAGACCACGCCACAGATTTCCTAGTCTAACCATCACGGTCACCAGGGAAAAGGCAATGGCAGTGTTGGTGATAGAAGGCTATAAGAAAGGAAGCGACACAAAAGCAGAGTCAAGGGAGACTCAGACCACACTGATATTTTTAAGCAATCTAACAGTCAGCATTAAAACAAGCTTCCTTCAGTAGAGAATAAGGTCACAGGATTCAAAGCAACATACAAGCCAAATGTTAAGATTTTACATACCCACAAACCACATGATTACAATGCCCCACCTACCAGTAATTAATATAAAAAATGTTAAATACATAGTAACATTAAGAACATTAAGTAAACATTTGTACAGTTAATTTGTACAGTTAATGATGGCTTTCTTACCTATTTCATCCACGACTTGAATCATCTTTTCCAGTTCTTCTGGACAGATATCAGGGCAATGAGTGAAACCAAAATAAATCAATACCCACTGACCCTGGTAGTCCTTGTCAGTTTTGGGCTCCCCAGTATGAGTCGTGAGAGAAAATGGACCCCCAAGTAAAGGCTTTCCAAGGCTTCGATGCCGTTCCTTCTCTAGCTCTGAAAGAGACAAAAACATACATACCAAAAAAAAAAAAAAGCATTACCACAGGTACTCAAACGGCTGATATATGGTCAGTACTCTACTAATGACTATGGGTGCACAAAAAGTGGAAGAAATTGTTTCGGTTTTCAAGAAGCTAAAAAAATCTTTTAAGAAAAATAAGCATAAAACATTAAACAAAATCAAATTAAATGCTATGGTATGTAGTAAGGACTATAAGAAAACAAAGTAGCAAAAATATTTCTTCCCTTTCTGAAATAATTCAGTCCTAAGCCATCCTGGACGTGGGGGAAGGGTCACAAAGGCTCAGAGCAGAATGTTTAAGCCCAAGTGGGATGAGGTGGGGGCCTGGCATAGGAAGTCTGAGCTTGAGTGTGCAGCTGCATAAGGAGGGGGCAGAGTGATGGGACTTTACAGGGGATTGATCAAATGATAAAATATATTATAAGATAGTCACAAATGGAAAGGGAGTTAGAACTATGGAAAGTACTGGAAAGGAATCAAAGGTACTGGTGTCAACTTATGGTTTCAATATATACAGATACAGAAATATAGATGTAAATACATACATCTATTTACTAGCTCTGCCCACTGAGAGGACCTGGGGACAGACATACCCTAATAGCCATAAGCCCTGATTGACTTCTAAGTATCATTCTCCAACTAAAGGAAGGGATTTCTGAAGAAACGGCTGATAGCAGGGCAGAGGCAAAGAAAACGCAAGATGAGCCTGGAATTTCTTGTGGTAAAAATAAGGAAGAACCTAAAGAATATTGGAGACATGTCGAAAGCACAGAAAAGCCTACTTGAACGGGTTCCCATTGGCTAATTTGGAACAACTTGAGCATCAAAATAAAGAGAATAGTAGATCACAACTCACTGAATATGTAGGAAACCTTGAGGCTACACCGACATAAAGAATAAATGGTGAGTTTGATGGGGAACAGCATATGTAAAATACACATATGTAAACACACATCACAAAACACATCTTGACACAACAGAGTAAAGTTTTCAGTGGAGAAGCCTGAACACCTTAATCAAATGATCAAACTGAACATTATCAGAGGCACTTGACTAGATGCGATGAGAACACAGAGTCACTTTTGTGATATTCCCACCAATATGATCTGAATCTAATCACAAGGAAACATCAGACAAACCCAAACCAAGGGACAGTCTACAAAATAATTGGCCTGTAATCTTTAAAGCCATCTAAGTAATGAAAGTCAGGTAAAGACTGAGAAATTGTTACAAACTGAAGGAGACTAAAGAGAGAAGTAGGTACAAGATGTGGTTCTGAACTGGATCCTTTTGCTATAAGAAACATCAAATAGCAAAACTTGAAGATTGAATCGTACTCAAAACAGACTGTCCTGGGCTGAGCCCGTGGCGCACTCGGGAGAGTGAAGCGCTGAGAGTGCGGCGGCGCTCCCGCCGTGGGTTCGGATCCTATATAGGGATGACCGGTGCGCTCACAGCGCTCACTGGCTGAGCGCGGTGCGGCTGGTCTCAAAAAGGAAAATAAATAAATAAATAAAACAGACTGTCCTAAAGATTAATTAATTTTCTGATTTTGATGGTTGTATTGTGATCGTGTTACAGAATGTCCCTGTTTGTAGGAAATACACAATGAAGTATTTGGAGATGATAAAGTATTATATTAGCAAATATTCTCAAATATAGAAATGCTTTTAAGATTACTTCATAGTATATTTTTAAAGTAAAACAAATATTATCGTAAATCATATTTCAAACTAAAGTCAAAAGAAACTTGCATATTCTAGAACTGTCTCTGCCACTACTTTCCTAGCTTTTCAGTTTGTTTCTTTGTGAAACTAAAGGAACTCACTGCTAATCGAGATAGGAAAATATTACCAATAAAATTATTGCTTGTTATGCAAAAAGTACTGATATATATATCAGTACAAAACTTATATTGCTAACATTCTAAAGCCTATGAATTCTCACTCTCAGCTTTAAACATTACTCTTTGTATAACAGCATCAAAAGAGACTCCAAGGTTGAAAATCAAATCAGATTTAAGTAATATTTTAAAGATTTACCTGAAACTTTTAAACTAAATCTTAAAAGTATTGAAATATTCACTAAAATGTAACGTTCACATAGGGCTGGCCAGTTAGCTCAGTTGGTTAGAGTGCAGTGTTATAATACCAAGGTGAAGAGTTCGGATCCCCGTATTGGCCAGCTGCCACCCCCCCCCCAAAAAAAACAAAGTTAATGTAAACAATTTCTAAACACTTCGAGATGCTAATTCAGGCAGAGCCTGGCATTCCCCAGTGAGGCTCTCCATAAACCATGGTCAGCCTCTGTCCTTCCCCTCTTCTGATACCCACTGGTTTGCAGTATCTGTTCACACTGTTTCCCTATGCCGGACTTCCAGGAAGCCATCTCAAATCCCAAGCACCCTCACAGCACCCCGACCTTCCGTCTGGTCTGGCAGAACCTTATCTAGTGAAATCCTTTACTTCTGTGTCTGTTTTTCTGTCATGTGCACCTCAAGGGCTGGACTGCATCTTAGCCAGCACTGTCCCCTCTGGACTTCACACTGCCCACCTGCAAATCTGTCCACAGTGTAAATCTTTTAATATTGTTAGATAGTAACTTCCTGGATTGGATCCTGGAAGAGATAAAAGACACTAATAGAAAAACTGGTGAAATCCAAATAATCTCTATAGTTAATTGTTTTGTACCTATTTTAATTTCTTAGTTTTGATAAATGTGCCATGGTTATGTAAGATGTTAATATCAGGGAAAGTTGGGTAAAATGTATGTGGAAACTCTCTATGGTGAAAGGTATATGGGAATTCTTTATATCATCTTTCCAGCCCTTCTGAAAATCTAAAATTATTTCAAAATAGAAAGTTTAAAACCCACAACAGAAAAGATGCTAGTACCTAGCCAGGAAAGATTTTATTCAGAGCTGACCAGATGACATCTACTTACTCTCTGCCTTTTCTTTCTTGAAGTACTTCATTCCAGCCAATAAAGCTCCTCCAATAGCAAACGTGATTGCTAAAGACTTCCAGGAAACAGGCTATTGGGGCAGAGATTACAAAAATAAAAATTCTAGTATGATGCAAACATTTAAACATACCAGATTTATTATACTAGTTTTTAATACGCATACACAGAAGCCAATATCTTGTTAAACATGCAGAATATTTCAGGTTACTATGGAATGAGAAGAGGCTGAAAATTTCTGCGGATGCAGTTATGTCTGGGCTCCAAGAACAATTACTAAGGCACTGATTCCCATAGGAAAGCTTGCTAAGTCAGTTTCTGCTCAGGTGAAAAACGACCCAGTGAAGCTAAAGGACCATGACTGTCATTATGTGTAACTCTGGCTCCAATCGCTGATTTTAAAAAAATCTAAAAAATCTAAAAAAAAATTAAAATCGGCTTGTGCTGATATTGAGAATATAAATAAACCAAACAAAATACGTGAGGTTAACCTAACCGGCTTCCAGAAGTACCAAAGCCAAAGTAGAAAAGCTGTTTACAAGTGGGGCTTCTTGGATCGAGTTATTTCTCTGTACTCTTTTCAAGTCCCCAAATAAGACGCTGGCCTAGCTTTAACTCATTAACCCTCCCCCAGCTCCGAAAATCCATTTTTCTTAGCTATTACTAGAGGGTAAAGGCTCTTAAGTTCTTTTCCGGTCAGAACTAGAACCTGAGAGAAAACCAAGAAAAAGTGCTAACCCATACGCAACTAAGATGCACTTTTTGTTTCAATCTCAACGTATACACGGAAACTCTGATGAAGGGGAATGTAAGTGACAGAAATCATAAAACTGCTCTGACTCAACAGTGGTAAGCAAAGTTGAGACCCTTAAGAAAGTCTGAAACTTTTTTTTTCTTTTTTTCTTTTTTGGTGCAAAAGCCAACTTAAAAATCCAAGCCCGATAGGGGACGGCTCATGGCTCACTTGGGAGAGCGTGGTGCTGACAACACCAAGTCAAGGGTTAAGGTCCCCTTACCGGTCATCTTTTGGGGGGGGAGGGGGAAATCCAAGCCCGAGTCTAACCGTGTGGGGAGTTAGGTTCTCAGGTTCTCTCGAGGGTTGGCACTACCGGCAAGCCAGGGGAGAATTCGGGTGAAATTTCATGACGCAGCTTAGCCCGCCATGTTGGGGACAATTTCAGGCCAGGCTGAGCGGTCTCTGAGGTTATGCCCGAGTGGGATGGGTAGGCCACCGGTGTGGCTGACAGCCGCGACGAGCACGGGAAGGGCTCCAGGCATGCACTCACCCCGGGCTTCGAGGTGCGCGTGGGGTCTCTGCTTCTCTTCGGCTCGGGCCCTGACGACGCCGGGGGTGGCGGCATCGCTGTGCTAAGGAGTCGGCATCCCAGGCAGTTGCCAGCGAGCCCCGAAGCCCGCCGCACGTCCATCGGCCGCGCGCAGAACTGCCTCAGAAAAACTCCTGCGGTCCCCTCCGCCGGGCCCCAAAGCCAGAGTCCGCGAGGCAAGAGACGCCAAAGTGACCCAACCGGTGGCCGCATCATCCGGCCAGACCGTACCAACAGCACCGCCATGAGCTTGGGCAGCCGCACCTCTTTCGCTCCGCCCCGCGACTTCCGATACTGTTTCCGCTTCCTCCGGAAGCCGGAAGGAGCCGCTCTTTCCTCTCCTCTCGGTGGTGGCGCGGTTCCCCAGCCGCTAGTCAGGGAGCCCTTCGCCGAGGAGCCGGCGCGCGGTAGGTGGTTCCTTGCGGCTGGAGGCGGGTCCTACGCGGCCCCGGGCGGGCTGGGATGGGCGGCTGGGCAGCGGGACAGCAAGACAGCAGGGCCCCGGGGAAGGAGCTTCCTCGGGCGGCCAGGCTGCGTGGCAGGGGCCGGGGCCGGGCATCCCTGAGCGCTGGGGCCGCCCCTCTTTGGTCAGGGGCCTCGGCGAGAGCAGCCGGTGCGTCCCCAGCTCGGAAGAGAGAAAACGCTGGTCAGAGGTCGGCGGGACCGAGTACCCCCGTCTCCATCCTGTCTGGTCACCCTTGTCCTGCCCAGTCTGGAGGCCGGCCATGTGGATCTGCCAGATGCTTGACCCCTTCACATCCTCAAAGGAGAGTCAGACCCATGGCGCTTGAAATAACCCTTGCTTTTTTTGTTTGTTTGTTTGTTTTTAATTGCTAATAAGGATAATTTTAGTGGTTAGGGTGGCAAGGATGAGTTAAGACTGAAATGCCCGGCGCTTCTAGTTATTCTAACTGTATTATAATGTATCCTGATTGTAAAGCACAGCTCTCCACGAAGTCTATACTGCTTATATTCCATCCCTTCATTTAGTCTCCTGGGGCCACAGTTTCTTAAAATGCTCCCTTCAGTTTCGTGATTTAAAGTTTGATAATAGGTTCCTCATCTGGGACTGCTTATGTTCCTTGGGTACAGCCACACATTAGTGAGGCCAAGAGCTTTCTTAGGTTTATGTTTCATTCCTTGTGAAAGTTGAACTCGGATTCTTTCAGTCAGCCTTTGTTTAGGTCTCAATATCTGCAGTCTTAATTCTGTGGTGGATTTGTAAATTACTGGACAGAAAAAAGATCGCTTTGCAACTCTCTACCTTAACTATAGAACCTGCTCTTGCGTGCCTTTTTTTCAGGGGGTTTCCACTGAGCTGAAGCAACTCGTGATCCAGTGATTGTTGGAATATAACATGGTTGGTTTTTTTTTTTTTTCGGTAAGCTGGGCTAACTATCGGAGTGTGCTGCTCTCGAATCCAGTCAAGTCGTAGTCTGCTATGACCCGTGTTTCTTGATTTCCAAAGTTGAGCTGGAATTTTCTGAAATTTCTTCTAAAGTTAGAGTTTTTATATGTTTGCTCAGCACATCAAAACATTAATCAAACTAATTTTTCTATCTTGAAGTTGCCTGTGGATAAGGTTTTTACCTTTTTATTTCTGTGTATTTTTTGCTCACGGAGAAATTTTTCCTATAATTGACAAAAAGACATGAAAGTACCTTGCATATTCAGCAATGAGTATACAAAACTATTGTTCATCTCTTTAATTGCTAGGTTAAGTAATCAAACACACATCATGTAAATTAAAATTGAATTCAGTGTTTTCAGTTTCTCTATTAAATTTTATTTGTCAAAGGGATTTTTTAAAATAGCTTTACCGTTAATTTCTTTACTGAAGAATTTTTTTTAACAACTTCTTCATATTAAGTTTATAATATTAAATAAAATACTAGCATCTAAAACAGCTTCTGGCTCCAAGTAGGTGTTTTATAACTGAAGTTTGGATGAATTGCTAGTAACATCTCTGAGCCTGATTTCATGGACCCATGAAATTTTAGTGCTAAAAGGTACCTAAAGCGTTAAACTAATGTAAACCCATCACTTTTATTACTACTATTGAACTACCAAGATCACCAAATGAGTTTTTGTTTTGTTTTCAATTTTGATACTTTCCTTGAGAGAGACAGGGCATGGATAATCTCTTCTGATATTTGTTCTATCAAATAATGACGAGTCTGATCAAATTTTGTGTTTGACATAAGTGATTTGACTAGGACAGCCAGGCCCTAACTTTTTGTGAATTTTTGGCACTGTAATTTGTTTGCTTCATCTTAGGTCCAGACCCTTGTGTGCCTAACCACAAACATTTCCTGCTCCTACTTTCCTTATTACAATCTTTAACATAGTTAGGTTTTAAGATCCACCACCCCTCTTTCCATGGTCATTGCATATGAAAGCTTCACTCACCCACCCTTTTCTGAGACACTCTGGCTTAGGTTTTGAGGTTTTGTTACAACAGTCTGTCTTAAAATGTCTCCTTACTAACGTCTGGACTTCCCCCCCCCTGTTTTTTTTTTGTTTTGTTTTGTTTTGTTTTTCCTTTGACAGTAGTGTGAAGGAAGCACTCTTCAGTGTAGGGCTGTCTTCTTCCACAAATTCATCATAGGTACATGAGGGCATTCTACAAGGAACTTCAGGCTGCCACTCATAAGTATTACAGAAGTTTTATTAGTATCATCTTGTAGCAAGTTTTCAGAAATTAAAGCTTCACTG